TACCTCCAACTGACCTAGAGGTAAAAAAGAACATCACTGCAGATTGCTTGGACATAAACAATGCCACAAGCAACCAATCAACTACTATTCTTCTTGGAGAAGACTGCTGAGAGCTGTGGGTTGGCTGATGAAACTGAAAAAACTCCTGCTGCTTCGACTTCGGAAGACAAGGGTTCATCCGACCCACCCCAAATCGACAAATGGACAACCAGGGCATGGATTAACTGTGGATGATTTAAAGGAGGCAGAGAAGTCAATCATTTGCTATGAACAACAGCGCTACTTTAACTCAGAAATTACCCTCTTAAGGAAAGGAAAATCAGTTAAAGTGGGCTCTTTATGCAAACTGGATCCTATGATTGATGAGGACATCTTATGGGTTGGAGGACGGATAAGCAAATCAGCACTGCCAGTGAGCTTGAAAAACCCGATTATCCTTCCCAGAGACTCACATGTATCCAAATTGATCTTGCATGATATTCACCAACAAGTTGGGCACTCGGGAAGGAACCACATGCTCTCCAGATTAAGTAACAGATACTGGCTGCCTTCTGCCAGGAAAATCATAAAATGCTGTGTGTTTTGCAGACGCATGCATGCCAAGGTTGGGGAACAGAAAATGGCCAATCTACCAGAGGATCGGGTGGCACCGGATCTCCCTCCCTTTTCTCATGTGGGCATTAATTATTTTGGACCCATAGAGGTTAAGAGAGGCCAGGCACATGTTAAATGATGGGGGGTAATATTTACCTGCCTAGTGTGTTGAGCTGTTCATCTGGAAATGGCGAGCACCTTAGATACAAACTCCTGCATCAACGCCATACGAAGGTTTTATGTCGGAGAGGGCCAATATTCACCATCAGAACAGACTGTGGTACCAACTTTGTGGGTGCACAGAATGAATTAAAGTATGCTTTGGTCATGCTGGATCACCAAAGGATTCAGGATGCACTGCTGCCTGATCATGTCAATGGTTGTTCAATCCCCCATTTGCAGCACACTTTGAAGGAGTTTGGGAAAGACTCATCAAGCTGGTGAAAAAGGTACTCTTTTCCGTCCTGAGGCAGCAAACCATGGATGACGAAATGCTACAGACAGCTCTATGTGAGGTTGAAACCATTCTCAATGATAGGCCCATCACTGCTGTGTCTACTGACCCCAATGATCTAGAACCTCTAACGCCAAACCACCTGCTGCAGCTAAAGGCTAAAACCCTTTTGCCACCAGGATGACCTCTACACAAGAAGAGATGGAGACAGGTGCAATATATTGCAGACTTGTTCTGGAAGAGATGGACTAAAGAATATCTGTCGCTTATGCAGCAATGGCAGAAGTGGGGCTACACCAGAAGACATTTCAACATTAATGACTTACTAGTCATAGTGGATGACACTGCACCCAGGAACTCATGGTTTCTTGGCCGTGTGATACAGACCTTGCCAGGGCCCAAAGGCCTTGTTCGCAGTGTTCTGGTTCAAACCAAAACTAATGTGCTGCAAAGACCCGTTGATAAGCTCTGTTTACTACTCGAGGCCGAAAACTGAGCTTAAAGAAATCTGACACTTACCCCTGACTGATGCACACTCTTTCACACATGCCCTTCCCCCACACTTTGGGGGGATTCATGGGGGTAGATTCATGGTTATGAGATATATGATAAATGTGTTAATATATTGATGAATGTAATGTGCTTTCATGCAAAGTGACTCTTGGGTTAGGATATCTTATGTTTATATTTCAGATTTGTGTTCTGGCTCTGTTTAATGTTAGTATTGTAATTGTCTTGCTCAGGCTTCACCAGTTATTTAATTTAAATATGAAAACGGATGTTTTGAGTTCATTTTTGATGTTTGATGGAGGAAATGTTCACATTGCTTATTGACCTGCTCATCCTTGATTCTGTGTCTCTGGGGTGCTGATAGGTTGCCCTTAAGTAGACTATTGGCAGAGCCTGAGGATGAGCTAGATGGCCAACAGTTTCAGCTTCACAGTAGTTGTGAAAATTATGTGTTGGTCTTTTTATTTAGGTTCTTTATTTGTTTTTCGTTGTTGGAAAGTCAACCGGAGTATAGAGAAATAAATACATCAGTTAAAACGAACAGAGTATCTCCGTGCATGCTTTTGAAGTGTGTGTGTCGGCGACTCCCCAACCTGAGTCCAGGTGACTCCTCAAAAACGTTTGTCAGTCACTTCAGTGCTATATAAATAAAATGGATTGGATTGGATAGTTCACTAACTCTCCTGTCATTTCAGATTCCAGTTGCACCTCTAGCTTGATCTCACCTCACTCCCTTCAGCTGGTAGTCCCCGCCTATCTACTCACTTGCAGCTCATCATCCTCATCGGTCTGTGGTACTTATACCGGCCTCTTGCACTAGTTCCTTGCCAGATTGTCTAGAGTCTCCAGCCTAGCATTCTAGCGTACCATAGCTTAGTTTGATTATTCTGTCCTGACTGTGTCTAGACCCTTTTCGCCTATTCCCCAGACCTGTCTGCTGCCTATCGGATTTGGATTTGTTTGCCTTCTCTTGGACTGCTCACCGGGTATTGTGACCCCGCCTGCCTGACTACTTCTATAACCCCTTGACGCCGATTGTCGCGAATTCGCATCATACCTCTTCCTTGCAGACTGCAAGCCAAGATTTTTTTATTGTAAAAAAATTCAGGCGTTAAGGGAATAAACTGAACTTGCCTCATAAGTAATTTCTGTCTCTGAGTCGTGCTTCTGGGTTCATTCCTGTTTAAGTTTCTTCTGAAAAGGACTCATGTCCCTTCATTAGTGACCTCCACTGGCTACCCATTGCCTCCCGAATCAAAATCAAGTCACTAAGGCTGCATACAGAGTGACAACTGGGATGCACCTATCTACCTAAAACTCCATAATCCAAGCTTACATACCATTGCTCTCCTCCAGCGAACGCTGCCTGGCTCTGCCATCCCTACACACAAAGCATTCTCAGTCCCTGTTCTCATCTGTGACACCACGGTGGTGGAACGAGCTACCACATGCCATAAGAACAGGGGCGTCCCTCTCTAACTTCAAGATGTCAAGTGAGCCATGGCCAGAGTGCTTTGATAGCAGAAAAAAAAAAAAATTCTTGTGAGCATGTGCAAAAGTGTCCTTCAAGTAATAAGGGGGAAAAATGCAGTTAATTGGAATTGATCTTCCAATCTTCATAATGGGAGCCTTGCACAGTACCTACTGAGCTAAACATGCACGAGTATACAAGGATTTGACTTTGTTCTGGCCCGCCATATAATGGCTTGAAAAAAGTTCAGACCCCAGACTTATTTGCCGACCCCTGGCCTAAGGGTTTTCAGTGCCTAAAGATAAAGAAGTTCAATCATGCTTTGTTGCTGGATATTGTACATTCTGTGACTTTATGTAATTAACAATGTTTCCTTAATATGTTGTGAAAAAAGTATCCCCACTGCATTACGTTTTCTGTATAAAGTATTTGCAAATTAATAGCATATAAACATAATCTCTAGGAGACGGGGTTGATTCCCAAGAAACCGACTTGCTGGATTCATCCTCTTTGTCCCTGTGGGACTAATGCCACAGTAAGCTTTTTCCGATTGTTCCCAATCCTTTGCAAGATGTCTCCCCAAGTAAAGTTCATCTTTTCATGGTGGCTAGCTCATCTGTTTCAGTTCTGCTTCAGGTCATTTTTATTCTTCCAGAGCATTTTTAGACTTTTGGAATACATCTTAGGACTCAACATATAAATCACTCAACATAGACAACACAAAATGTGATGAAATTAAGACTTAAATAGCATTTTAATCCAGAGTCATATCTCAACACCTGTTGAACAGATTGTCATGAAATCTAGTACACACATTATTGTCTCTATCAACTGCAATTCCTGTGCTGATCCTCTGACTTTTCATCTAGTGCCATCATCAGGTCAAAAAATGAATGTGTCCACTACAATAAGATGCACAACATGGTAAACATAATCATGTTAGCATTGTCACTGTGAGCATTTTGATATTAAATGACATGGTGAGCTTGACAGCTGGCTTTTCTGTACACTCTTAGTCTTGTTTGTTGAGAACCTTCATCATTAAAGTTTAAACTTTGTGAACCAGTTGCAACTTCACAAAATGAAAGCAGAGTTACACACAAAGTTAAAAGCACGTCTTAAATCCTATCAAACTGATTTCTAAATTGTGAGTTGTATGCATTTCAGTCAGAGGAACTGTGAGTTGAAACATGCATATACAACATGCACAACTTATTGTTTGCTATACAGTTTGTGCATGATGAGTTTTACATTTTGGCCGCAGGACCTATTTTGTGTATCTTCAAACATCTAAAAATCACTCCTTTGATTTGAGGCAGATTCAGGCCATAAACTAGAGGGTTGTTTATGGGGGAATGATCAAATACTCTAAAGAAAAACCAACTGTGATG